ACATTTTCAGTATATGTACCACCACCACCATTTCAGCCATAGGACGTCCACTGCTGAACATAGGCCTCCCCCAATGCTTTCCATGTTGATCGATTGGAAGCGGCCTGCGTCCAGCGCTTCCCTGCTACCTTTACGATGTCGTCGGTCCACCTTGTAGGTGGAAGTCCCACGCTACGTTTTCCGGTACGCGGCCTCCATTCCAGAACCATTCTGTCCCATCGGCCATCAGTTCTGCGTACTATGTGCCCTGCCCATTGCCACTTCAGCTTGCTAATCCGTTGGGCTATGTCAGCGACTTTGGTTCGTTTACGGATCTCCTCATTTCTGATTCGATTTCGCAAAGAAACACCAAGTATAGCCCTCTCCATAGCACGCTGTGCAACTGAACACGGCCTATAGTGAGAGGCCACGTTTCCGAGCCATAAGGTTATCACTGGTAACAACATTGGTTATACACTCTAGTCTTCAGGCATTGAGGTATTTTGGACGAAAAGATGTTGCGTAGTTTCCCGAACGCTGCCCAGCCGAGTTAGATTCGACGATTGACCTCCTTCTCGTTTGTCCGAGGTAGACATACCTACTTGTCGACAATCTCGAGAATTGAGCTCCCAACTGAAACTGGGTAGGGCGCAACATGGACATTCGACATAAGCTTCGTTTTGTCCATGTTCGCCCTCAGGCCTACCTGTTGGGAAAATCGATTAAAGTCTTCGAGCATTGTTCCAAGATCTTCCAACGATTCAGCCATGACCACAATATCATCAGCAAACCGATGTGTACACAGTACCACAGTGTACCGAACAGTATATTATGTACACCTCCACAATATCTAGAGATCATAGTGAGCGTACATTTTAACTTTCAAGTCTCTTACTTTAAAAACCGAGGACTGCAATACAGACTTCCAACCCCCTTTTTAACTCCCATAAGGGTTGAATTTTGCAAAATTTCGTCTTAGTGACTACCTACGTTCTAAAAGGAGGTGTGTTCCACTTTGATCACCTGGCTTTGACCAGCCAGTGAGACTTGTAGTTTCTGAGACATCGTGATGAGTGAGTGAGTCACTTAGTCATTCAATTACCTTTCTTTCTACTAAAATTATACGTACCTATAGTAATTATCATTAAAATCAAATAAGTAAGTACCTACCAACCTAAGTAATTAAAATAAAGACCCTACCAAAAAATCAACAAATTACATACAGAAAATAAAAACGAAGTAATTCTTATCCTATTTAACTACAATCGCCCACGCGCCCATCCCATTTGTCCGCCGCTGAACCGTACCCTAATATTCATCTCGGTAGATGGCGGCACATAGTAAGAATTTGCAAGGAAGTTTGTAAAAAAGTCACTAATTAACACTTTGACTTGCTCATTTATACATAGTGAATGATTCAAATAGGTACATACAGTGAATGGTTCAATTACATAAAATATCTTTATTTATTAAATTTTCAACATTATTTACGAACAGCGCTATTCATAGTACATGTAATATTTAGTTACTAATTTACTAATGATGTCGATAGATGGCGTTTGACAGCTTTGCCTTCATGAATATTTACGTACCTCAAAATTTTTTGTCAGGCGCAAGAAGATTTTAAGCAATGACGATAGATGGCGCTTTTCCACGTCTTATGAAAATCCCAAATATTTTACGGGACCCTATTGTTTTCCAAAATAAAATCTAGCCTATGTTACTCGTGAGTTATGTAGCTTTCGAATGGTGAAAGAATTTTTAAAATCGGTCCAGTAGTTTTTGAGCCTATCCATTACAACTAAACAAACAAACAAACAAACAAACAAACAAACAAACAAACAAAGTTTTCCTCTTTATAATATTAGTGTAGATAAGTAAATTGAAAAACAAGTTTCTGAAATAGACACTTTCGCATTACCTGGCTTGGTGGTTTATGTATTGGACTACATACCAGATGGATAATAGAGTCGAATCCCGAAGGAATATTAGGGTGATAACTCTTATTTTAAATGCATTAAGTATCAGTTCAGATCTCCAGAATTTCGAAACTTTTTAGGCACGATATCTTGCCTTGCATACTTAAACCAAAGGACATTCTAGTATTTAACACCAAAAACCTATTATCGTTAAAATCTACATCGTTAAACGTTACGTTACGGATAGTTGACATCAGTCACAAAGGGCCACTCTAAAACGCGTGAGAATCGCAAGACCTTAGCCGGTAGCTAGGAACAAGTACGAATTAGTTGGCGTTTCTATACACGCAAGTATAAAGACCCTCCAGCGATTTTAGATGATTCGATTGGCAATGATCGCTTTCTACCGATAAGGGTCTCTCCCACGGTAATTCAGTTTTGCGGGATCCAGTAATGCAGAACCCAAAACTGGACAATTAGAGTGCTTTTGAAATTCGTATCCCAAATTCGAACGAATCGGTTTTTTTATGGGACACTGCAAGCGGGGGTTGTTCATGTGAATATTAGTATTAAAACACGTATAGTAGTAAACAGGATCCTGCAGAAAACGGGATGTCTCCTTAGTCAACGTTTTGACCCTTTAATTTGAATTTATAAGATTCGATCGAAAAGATAACTTTCTACCGATAAGGTTGTTTAAAGTCAACTTATTTTAGTTCCTCCATTTTGTTAATTGGGTGCATAATGAAGAGTATAATGATTTGAGAAAATTGAAAGAATGGAAGCTTTAATGATTCATTAGATTGATCATCCATTGTGCGTATTACGCTAGATCAAAGACTGCTTCATCATTATTTAATGAATAATGAGAAAGTACATTAAGTACATAAGTTTCGTTTTGTTAAAGAAATTTAAAAAAATCATGATAACTAAAGCTTTTGATTTGCTCGGGGCTTGGTTAACCAAGGGTGCATACATACTCCATACTCGGACCATAATTTCAAAACGTTAATAATGTACGAGTTTTGCATGGTCGAGTAATAAAATTATGTTCCTTGATCATTAACTTTGGCGTGACTCAAGTCTGATGGGTGACCATAAATGGTGGCACGATAAATTAAGCTCCATGAACGGATCATGCAATGGCATGTGATGCCATAAAATTAGTTTGATGTAGGTACATTACTTGTGTTTATAAATCATAATACCCACTATTTTATGGTAAAACACTAAGAAGAACATAAAAGCAGGAAGAGATTCTTTCTGGTGATAGCAGATAGCTTAAAACTTGCTATTGTAGCTTTCGAAGCTGCCGCGTGAGAAGGTAATTTGAACTTCCGCGATCGAGTGACCTCTGTCGAAATTAGGTTTTAAAATCAGGCGTTTCGTCAACGGGCTAAAACATGACTGTCAAATTTACATTGCTCATAAATGGGTTTTCAATTTATGCGTCCTACTTAGGGATCGAAACTTAGACCCCAGTCTTCATGATAATGTAAGTGCTCATAAATATTTTTCTTCGTTTATGCACTCTATTTAGACATCGAACTCTAGACCTAATCAAAAGCAAAACTATCTCTGAAGATTTTATTTAGTAATTGTATCAAACGCCTCTTCAATCTTTTAGTATATTGCATTAGATTATGTTATCAATGTAAGCGACTGTCAGAATGAACAGTGGCCTTTTAAATATGTCAGAGCTAATCACTCATCACTATTTAATTTGTACAACACGCTTTTGAAACACTTCTCACTTCTAATATAGGTTAGAGGAACAAAATATCAAATGGTTAAGAGAGCAATATTAATATACTCATTCTCTCAAAGATTTTGTTTTAGTACTATAAGAAATCAGTTTTCATTTAATAAACCGTTAATTATTGTACAAATCTGATTAGGTACATAAAGTAATCTCGATTAAGACCAAAGATCAAATATTTTGTTAATAAAGAATGATTGAATACTTTTCCCAAGGGTTTTAACCTTGTTCATGGGATAGTAGAAATGAATTTCGTCAGTGCACATTGTGCGATGGCTATGCGTGATTCTTGCTCTATATGGTCATAATTTATTTGTAGGGCGACCATGATAATATCGCTATAGTTTGAAATGTGAATGTATTTTATCAATTGCTTGTTTCAACAGACATTTCTGCATTTTTGTAATTTATCGAAATGGGTCATTAAAAACCCAAATATATTATTGACAATGAATTTAAAAAAAAATATTTTTATCAAATCGAAGTCATGACCGACTTGACCGATTTAGAGCCAGAACCAATTCGGAAAATGGCTCTCTGATTGAATATAACAGCCACCATTTGGCCCTTAGAATAGGCTGACAGACGCTGCGGTCACGACACCTGACGCAATGACGCAATGGTCTCACGTCATTTTGTAACGTCAGAACTATTGTAGGTTTTGTGACCATAAGGGCCATTATATTTATGAGTAAAAGTCCCAAATCGTTGGCTCACGCGAAAGTATTGTGTCGATATTATTTACGCAGATGACCTTTTTTGAAAGCAGGGCAAAGTGATAAGTTTCATAGGCTGTTACAAATATTACATGTCAAGAGATCAAAGTGGCCAGTCCCTTTTCACTGCGTAACTTTAAATTGGACTTTATATGAGTAGTTAATAACACTCATGAAACGTTTAATGCAAATTAGAGTTGACTGTAACAGTTCATCCATTCACGAAAAGGTCGGAGCTAAAAAAAGAATGAAAAAATTGTTTGCACTATTTTGTGGCCACCCGCAAATTTTGATTACCAAAAGCAAGGTTAGGCTGTGGCCACATTGGCATCAGGATGTTACCTGTGGCTTGACCACATTTGCGAACTTTTTACAAAGGTGATTATTAGGAATGACTATAATGAAGATTACCGGCATTAGCAGACGTACATTTGTTTTGCAATAATTATATTGTAATGTTTCATGTATTTATGAGTTTTTTATGGACTAATCAAAGTCATGCTATGATACTAGTAAAGTTACTGGTTTATGTGGTTGTGAAGTTTACGGTGTCGTAAACTATTTGAAATTGATTCATGTTTTGAGAAATGGTATCATCAGTGCATAATGCTAATAAGGTTCACTTACCATCATCAACGATGCCTGCGGCCTCGTCACGGGCGTTCTGCTCCAGAGACTTCAGGATAGCCTCGGGGATCGGAGGGGGGGTGGGCAGATGAGCTCCCTGGGGCTGGTAGCCGTTCTCGTCAGCGGTGTAGGTGATGCTGTAGTCCTGACCATCGTCGCCCTTGTACGCGAAGCTTCCCTGAGACTGGACGCCGTTGGTGGCGACTCCAGACGCGTCAGCGCGGATTCCGTTGGATGTCTCGAAGTCGTAGGAGAAGCCCTCAGCGGTGACGTCACTGTTTAGTCTGAGGATTTGGGCGTTGGCGTCGGCTGAGGAAGAACCACGAGCTCCTCCGAACTGGCCAGCGGGAGCGCCGTAAGCATTTCCAGAGTTTTGGGCTCCACCGAAACCAGCACCAGCTCCACCGAATCCAGCACCGGCTCCTCCCTGGCCGAAGCCGGAGCCTCGGCCGCCGAAGCCGCCGGCAGCGGGGCCGCCGAAACCACCAGCACCGCTGAAGCCAGGTCCGTAGCCGGCACCCTGGTTTCCTCTAGGAGGGAGGTATTTGTTGTCCAGGCGGTCTGCCAAGCAGACTCCGAGGATGGCGGCGACTACGAGCTGAAAAAAAAATTAGTCTTTAGATTTCAATTGGTAATGACAGTCGTAAATCACTGCAAAAGGATGTATGTTTAAGGTAAGACCCTTTTATGGAATCACATGATATTGATAGTTCATCATACATTTTATACCCTTATGAGTTTTTCTTAATGGTAAACATCCAAGAAAGCGTAGTAATCAATAATGAAGTCCATAATTTTCAGGACAGAAATAGTAACTTTTGCACACAGAAAAAATATTCTTAATTTATTTTTACCCATAGTGTAGCGTAGAAAGCGAGTAGTAGAAAGTAAGAATAAAAAGTTATAGTAAAGTGTAAACTTCAAAATGAAGCAAACCAAGTCAAGATATCCCTCGGGACTCCAAATGACCACTTCAAACTCAACCCAAAAGTTGATAAAATCTTCCTAAAGTCCTGTAGGACTTGCACACCCTACGACACTCACCAATTTCATTTTTAATAAGCTAATGTAATGTGCTAGGACTACCGATGGAAGCGCTGTACCGACTGTGATGCTAACAGAGCGATGCGCCGTTATATACCTATGGCGTGCCTTTGACGCGTCTTGAATTGTATCATGGCCGATTGCAGCAGGTGAGCTCTTCCTCTTGTGCATCCTAGTTTATTTTTATTGTAGTGACAATCTGACCTTTGGATTGGGCACTTGTTTTAATTGGTTGTAAAGTAATTGGTTTTGAGGAAGCTTTGATGAAAGTTATGTAGGTGATGAACGAATTAGGGTCTCTAAAGAAGTCATAGGTGTTTTAAACGACGTAGGGAGTATTTACTTTATTTAAATTAGGCGTCGCAACCTAATTTTTTAGCAGTTGCGGTTACATACTGAAAACTCACATCGATATATGACTCGACCGGTTTTTTTCAGGAGTTGTACTTTACAGTACGTACTCAAAATCTTGTAATATAAGACTAAGTCATTACCACTGCGTTATCAGGTTCTTAGGACAATCATTGAAATAATTTGGAAAAAAATGCTCTAAATTAAAAAGTCAACATTTTCATATTATAAGAGCAATACAATTTACAAACACACACTTTTTAAAATAGATCAAGAGAGGTTAATAGCTTGCTCTTAGCCGCTACTTTTAACAATAATCCTTTTATGAACATCATTATCGATCAAACATCAATAATAAATCCTTTGATAGAGTGCGATAATCTCTAGCTTTGTCGTGCTCTAATATTGTGTGTCTCATAGATTTATTAGTAGTAAAAGACATTATTTACTGTGTACTACTAATGCCCCCGATGTGAAGGTGGTCAGTGGTCAATCAATTTGAGGACGTGGGATCGATTCCTAGATGCGACATAATTCTAAAGTAGAAAAACAGCTATAATTGTAAACTGGATCATGAAGTTTGACATCATTTGTGTCTGTAATTTTTATACTATATTATGACTAACGGCCCGCTCCGGCTTCGAATGGTTGCAATAGAATTTCCCGGCTTTTCTATAATAGGTATGCATGTTTTATACATAATTATAAACCTACCTTTTGAATTTAAAAAAAGCCCCATCAAAATCCGTTGCGTAGTTTTAAAGATCTAAGCATATATATATAGGGATATACACAGAAAAGCTACTTTGTTTTATATATGTAGTGTTAAGAAGACGCCGCATCATGTAATCATTGACCCATATTGACTGATAAGCCATTTTAATAACTGTATTATGTATCTGGTATTTTATTAACCTGCTATTGAATCTGTAAAAAAATTAAGTAATTTCACTGTTTAAGCAATTCCTAAAAGATTCTTAACAATAATTTTACATTAATGGCTATGTGTATAAGGTTCAACCAATTCAATATGGTAGTCAGCGCTTCCCAACATTTGGTCTTCAAGTACTTGTGTAGCATAAAGTGGGGGCTGGAGGTTTTAATAGATGAGCTTAATCATTGAACCTCACTATTGCACATCTAAAGAGATAATATAAGAGAGAAAACTGTGGTTGTAGATAATATGCCTATTTAAAGATAGTACATAGAGTATTGGATAAAATATCCAATGGTCCGTGACTCAACGTCCATTTTTAATCCTTAAAACTCTGCAGCTGCATAAAGTCGTTTTATGTGGCGTTTGCAACCAGCAGCTTCTATTCATCTATCGTATGCCTTGCACTGATCAGTGCGAGACACAAATAAATTACCTACTTTCGCATTGTGTCTGGAGTCCTGGCATACAACTAGTTAATGCTCTATTTAGGAAAGTTAACAGTTAAAGCCTAAAGGTACAACAATTTTCTTTTGCTCTTATTATTTTTATTTTTATTTTCTTTTATTTCTGGTACCACTTAAATATTTTTTCTTTCTCTTCAAATAAATAAATAAATCATGCGTATTTTGGCTGGAATTCTGCGTCTTCCAGTTTGTGCATCACACAAAACCTGTTGGAACCCAACAACGCGCGGGAGGAGACGTGCGGGCGGCGTACAATGACTAACGTCACCTCGGGCCGACAGCGTCATCATCGGCTGCGCTCGGGTCACACACTCGCCTTTGGGACACCACCGTCGTCGCACAAATACCGCGTACTCTCATAATTGATTGTAATTAGGCTGGCGAGAATTACAGCAACCTATTTTTATACAGTCCGCTATTTCATTTCTACTAATATTCGTTAGGACCCTAACAAAACCTTTCATCCGCAAAAATACAGTTTATTTCAAAGGGGGTTCCGTTTAAAGATTGAGAGCCAGTGCATTAGGTCAACACTCAACACGCTTCCAGAAGTGATTGGGTATTAGTGAGATCTATATCTTATTTTGAATGCGGATTCGCAATAAGCAAAATGATTGTAATGTATTGTAAGAAGTGACGCATAATGTGGTAATAGTGACTAAGTGAATATTAGACTAAGGCTGAGTTGCACCACCTAACTTTGACGGTAACTATGACGATAACCGGTGTTTTTTGTATGGAATTTGACAGATTTTTGACGTTTGTCAAAGTTAAAGTAAGATGGTGCAACCCACCCTAAGTGAATCTACAAGAGACCAGTGTGCCTACCATGAGTTTACGTTAGGTGAGCTCGCTAGCGAATACGTCAAAAAATTCTATGAAGATTTTATTTCTTGAAAGTAGCCGCTAGGGGCGCTGCACAATATGTCATACATTTAAATGTCATTTTTTTACGCAGTCGCTAGCGAGCACACCTAACGTAAACTCATGGTAGGCACACTGTAGCTTCTCATGATTACAAAAAAGTGTGAATGGTGAACTCAATCAGTGTTAATTATCTGTTAAAATATCGTATGATTTTTCAAAGAGAATTGAAACTAATTACTTGGCAACTAGCTGTACGTACATACCTACATACGAGTATGAGTACGAGTATGTTTGGAATCGTTTATTTTCCCTTTAATGGGAAAAAATCCGAAAGGAACAATAGATAAAAAATAACAGTACCGGTCTTTATCATTAACACCAACTAAATAGCTGTCTTCTCCTTCGATTCATCATCATCATCATCATCATTGTAGTCACAGAACGTCCAAAGCTGAACATAGGCCTATGGAAATGACTTCCACAATCGTATGGTTGGTAGCGGCCTGCATCCAGCGCCTTCCTTGGATTGGTAGAGATCGATTCCTGGCTATAAAACCATCACATCACTATCCAAAATATTGTCCCAAAGCGGTAGTGTGACCTACGAGTATATTGGTAATATTGTGAAAAGAGTCCTCCAATGAGGGCTATCGTTTTAGCGCTCACCAGTTAGCGCCACTGTAGAGTAAGGTCCTGTCACTTGCTAGTAGCGAAAACAGTGGCACCAATTACTGGTGAGCGCTAAAGTGGTAGGAGGACTATCGCATTTGCACTCATCAAGATGGCGCTACTGTAGAGTAAGGTCCTGTCAATCGCCAGGGGTGCCAACTGTTAAGTATAAAAACGATAGCCCTCATTAGTTTATCGTCCTGTTTTATTTAAAAATCGAACCACAGACCTCGGTTAGAGAATCTAGATCATGGAAGAAGCTTCACAAGTCCTAAAAACGACTGACCTTGACCACTATTATTAATTGCTCACTGCAGCAAGGAGTGTTTCCTGATGGCTGGAAGGTAGCAGCGGTGACACCTTTGCCCAAGACCAACCGGCCGGCTTCACTCCAAGACCTTCGTCCTGTCAGTATCCTTCCGTGCCTCTCCAAGGTATTGGAAAAAATTGTATGCAAGCAGTTAACCACTTACTTGGAGANTTCTTTCTAAAAACATCAAATTAGGTATGACAAAGTGTTTTTTCATTGAATTGAATCTGTTGAAGGTTAAAAGTAATCTACTAAAAATAATTTGACATTATCTCATCTATGTGATTACGAGCATAACGCAAATAGGTGGAGTAAATTCATGATCAGTAGCTTCAACCACAGAATAATAATAAGTACTACGTACAGAAGTTTTACTTCGCGAAGGTATTTAAAAAATTGTATGCTCAATGTCATTAACGATATGGTGTAATTTAGCCTGTCTCAAGAGTCAAGCATCATTTTGTTGACAAACTTCAGTGATCGGCACTGCGCCGAAGCTATAGGGCTGACTTCGGTAAAATGATGTGACGTGAGGTGCCAAACTGCGGAAAATGGCGGAGGAAATACATGATTTAGCATGAATTATCATGAATAATATTATATTATTATATTACCTCTCAGTGTCTCAGTGAGGAAACTTAAAAAAGTACATTCTGTGTTTTTATTATTATTTAGGCAGTTAAATACTGCACAGTATTTAGTACACCATTTTCTTTATTTTCTTCCATCATACACAAGAATACGCGTGCGTGAGTCAATGTTCGCTCGTATGTGAGGCCTTGTCGAATAGTATCCTGTAGGTGGTCCCATCGTGCGTGTTTTGTTTTCCATGTAAACTCGCGGAGATGAACAGGCCTGCTTCAACTTTGAAAATCTGTATTTTCAAAAATTTGGTAGTATCCACGTAAACAAAAGGATGCTTTACATTTTTTTCGCTTTCTATTGAAGGGAAGTCCTTAATTTCCAACTCTTCTTAAATACTCTTCTGATTACTTTCTTTGCAGATCAATAACAGTTTAAATCTTTCTCCTGGAACAGATTTGGCCTTCATTCCTGGGTTTTAATTGGCGATCAAGCCTTAGATCATGGTTACATAGGTTTTTTTTTTGTTGGGACTGTTATTGAGATGCACTTGCAATGGAAGCTAGTGGAGTACTCCAATTGCAGTGCGGTGATTTAGTTTGTGAATTATGATGGTTGTCATAATGGTTAAATTCTTTTAGGCGATCGACTATATGGGTAATGTAGGCTTTGGAGCTTTTTGCTGTGTCTCCTTTTCTGATTATTTCTAGTAGACTATATGGGTTGACATAGGAGTTAGGTTATGGGTTTATTAGAGTAAGGGGATAGTCTTTTACATATTAGTGTATTAAGGAATGTATTACTGACTGCCCATACTATCGACTTCTCCCTGATATTCATTTCTTCTTCCTAGTATCTCAAATTGATACGACATATACAGATTTTGAGAGACTTATTTCCCATACAACAGTCAATTAGAAG